AGATGGAACCCAAGATCTTAAGAAGCCAGCTATTCCCAGGAATGATAGAATCTCCTGTTTAGTAGAGGGGACTGCAAGAGACTGGATTAGATGCTTTCTATCTAAAGTAATAGATAGACCTTGTGGGTTGGGGTAATGGTTAGACCCAAATAGGTGATCTGAGGAGTGGACAGCTAGCTGGACCTTAGAAGGCGAGACTCTATAACCCCAGCTGGAGAAGAAATTTAGGAGAGCAGAGGTGTTAGTTGGCTAACTTGTAATGACAGGCTGCAGAGTGGAATGTCATCTACATAGTGTGTTAGTCAGGGAGGGACAGAGAGCAGGTCAGAGGCCAGGGCCTGACCATATAGGTGTGGGCTGTCCCTGAATCCCTGTGGCAGGACAGTCCAGGTCAGCTGCATAGACAGGGGAGTGTCAGGGTCAGTCCAGGTGAAAGCGAAGATATTTTGAGACTGAGGACTGAGAGGAATAGAGAAGAAAGTGTCTTTGAGTTCTAGAACTGAGACATGGGAGGTTCCTGAAGGGACAGTGGAAAGAAGTCTATAAGGATGGGGACCTAAGGCTCTTGAGTGAAATAGGATACTGAGCTTGGTTGATGTGCTGGGTAGGGTCCTGTAAATGGTTAATAATAAGGGAATGGTGCCAATCTACGGAAGGGTTGTGGGTATCCTAGACTTGGGGGTCCACCTGAGATGTTAGTAAGGGAGATGACATATTAAAGCTAGTGGGCTGGGTGGCTAGGAGGAGGAGAGGAGCTTCTGGCAAGTCTGGGGTCAGGCAAATAGGGGGAGCAAACAAAATGGAAGCTCCTACCTTGGCTAAAAATCTCTTCGCATTAGGGGCACAGGGCAGGTTGGCATGACCAAAAATGAGTGGATAAGAGGGATACCCCTAAAAATACAATTAAGTGGTGGGGTCTGATGAGGTAGGTAAGGCTGTCCCCCTACCCCAACAATAGGGAGATGAGAAGGAGAAGTGGGTCCCCAAAACTCCCTCAGGACCAAGTAAATGGCCCCGATGTCCACGAGGAAGGAAATGGATCACCCCATACTGTAATGGCTACCCGAGGCTCCCTGTGGGAGGTGACAGTTGTCAGGCTGGACTCTGGGCACCTTCAATCATCACGGTCAAGCCTAGAAGGTTGGCTGGAGGGTGGTCTTGGTTTGATGTCCCCATGCCACGAGGTGCACAGGGACAGTCAGCTGACCAATGTCCCTCTTGGTGGCACTTTGGACATAGCCCCGGTGGCCCATGTGGGGCAGGCCAAGTATGAGCCCAATGGCCTTCTCTACCACATTTAAAACAAGGACCTGGGGGACCTCAGGCAGCCGGTCGGATGGCCTTGGGCAGCACTTGATATTCCTGTGGCACGCCGTAAAAGCCAGCACTGAGACTCCTGCCTGTGGGGTCAGGGACCCTCTCTCCAGACGCTTAAGTTTGGCCCTAATGTCGGGGAAGCTCTGCAAAAAGAAATGGGTCATGAGGAGCTGTCTGCCCTCTGGGCTCTCAGGATCTAGATTTGTATACTGTAAGAGGGACTTTGTAAGTCGTTCTAGAAATTGAGATGGATTCTCTTGTCTGTCCTGAACTATCTCTTGAAGCTTTTCATAGTTTACTGGTTTGAGGGCAGCCTTATGAAGACCTGCTAGGATGCAGGTCGTAAACTGATCCCTACCTGGAGAGCCACCCGGGGTGTTATAATCCCATCGTAGGTCCCAATCAGGTACTGTTTGGGACATGCTGAGTTAGTCTGGAGACCTCATCTGCACGTATCCCAGCCTGTTCCCAACTCATCTGTGCTCCTCGGGAAGTAGGTTGTCAGTTAGGATCATGTATATATCATGAAAGGAGAGACTATAGGATTGGATGATATATTGGAATTCTTTAATAAAGAGGTAGAGTTGGATGTATAAGAACAGTTTCTTTTCTATCTGAGAGAGTTCTGCCAGTGAGAAAGGGACATGTACTTTAACCAGTCCATCCACCCCGCTACCTCTCGCAAAGGGAGGATGGCCACCGGGTTGGTTTTACTGGGGTGGGTTCCTTAGCAGATCAAGGATTCGTGACAGGAGGAGCTGAAGGAGCAGTCGCTGAAGGAGAGGAAGGAGCGGGAGGCTGGAAAGGCGGGGGTCCATTAGCAGGGTCTGGAGTAGTAGTGAGAGGTTCCTGTTGTTTAAGTTACATGGCTAGGAGCACGTGGGCAGGTGAGTAGGAGTCAAGGAGAGAGGGTTTGAGCTGAGATAGAAAAAAGCCTGGATATAAGGCAACTCTTTCCATTTGCCCATTCATTGACAGAAGTTAGATAATTCCCATAAAATATCGGGGTCCAAGGAGCCATTAGGTGGCCATTTTTTATTGTTATCTAAGGGATATTAAGGCCATTTTTTAGAGCAGAGGTGGATAAGCTTAGAAGTCTGTAAGTGTGGCATTAAGCTAAGAGGTTTTGGGGTTTCTAAAAGGCATCCCAGAGGAGATGTGGGGCTTATAAGATTGGAGGCCTTGTTTCCCATGACTGCAGCAGAGAGAAAAATAAAATAAAATAAAAAAGTAAACGAGATCCAATAGCTGTAATATCTCGGGCGTCTCAGAGATCAAACGAGGATCAATTAATGGCACAAGTTGCTCAGTGTTCCATCAAGTAAAGAGCAAGGGCCAGGGCAGGAATCCAAAGGACAAGTGTCCAAGAGATGAGAAATGAGGCCTCAGAACGCAGTGGTGGGGAATGGTCAGTGGTGATAGTGATGGGAGCTGACCATAGCCAGTAAAGACCATGGATGGGGGTACTCCCATGCCCAAGGACACCAGAAGGATGCTGGATGACCAACAGTCATTCCCACGGGTCCAGGGAAGTGTTTTAGCTGACCGGTAAAGGGAAAACTCACTGAATGAAGTAGCCAGTGTTGTGTGAAGCAATTCCTCGGCCAGGCAAATGGAAAGTGGGCAGTTGTGGATGAACCAACCTTGGTTCAGGATCCAGGTGCAGGGCACCAGGAGGGCCTGTTTGGTTATGGCACCAATGTTATTTATTTGAAAGAGTTGTTCACTGGGCAAGAGAGAACATGAAGTACAACAGAACCTACTATAAGAGTTTTTATTAAGGAAGGGAAAGTATAGTCTTGAGTAGGCCTACCAGAGGGGAAACGTGGCGAGAGAAGGGGAGTGGGTGGAGTCTGCTTTTATAGGTCACCTCAAGCTTATGAATATGGGTTTACATAGCTATGCCATGCATGTGCATTGATGACGTGACCACGCTCTATGAAGATTATGTGACTGTGCCGTACAGATTATGTGACTACACTACACTATTATGTGACTATACTAAGGCCCTGGAGTGACTAAGCATTTTGCCTGACTCCTGACAGCACATGAACGGTCATGTGACTCTAGAAGTGGCTGGGAGTAATAACATCCATGTAATAAACTCAGCGGGACTGAGTTTTATGTTCCTTCCACCATTCTCCCCATCCTTAAGTCCATCCCCACACACAGTCCCCAGACTTCTGCTAGAATGAATCATCAAACTTTTAAGTTCTTTAGTAGTATAACCCACCTCTTCTTCACTGATTACACTTTCCATGGCCTCTCTAGGAGCCTTCTTAGCTTTAAATCTGGTTCTAAGTATAAGACGACTATTGGTGGGCCCAGGGGACATCAGTATTGTGCTGCCTGGCATCTCCGTCAGAGAAGATTGTCACTGCTGATTCCTTTAATTCCCTTAGATAAAGGTGGCAAAGGCTGGACTGCAGGGTCAGGGTGGGGATGAATCCTCTGCTAAAGGTGAGGAGATAAACCATTCAGATTCTGAGGGACCAAAGTCCTCAGCCTCAGTAGGATCCCCCACACCTGCATCCCAAGTTCCAAGTTCCCAGTCCCTACCAGTCAGTGTCCTTTAACTGCCAAAGCCCTCTGAGGCTGGGGCTTGAATTTCCTTTGTAACCCAGCCAACCTTATGAGGCTTCAGTCTGACTTTCTGCAGCTGGAGCTCTGTGGCTGCTGGAGAGAAGATTCTCTTCCAGGGCACACTTAGAAACCTTTAGACTTTGTCGGTTTATCTAGAGATGCTAGAGGCAACCAGCCAGCATCAATATTTTCCTGACTTTTCCACAAATTGTCAAGAGTTTTATGTATAAAGTCACTACAACTTAGTGTCCAATTACACTAGTTCCTTATAGCAGGTGAACCAGGGCAATCAGATGCATTGACATTAATAAGTTGCTCAAATAGTTCACACCATGGATTTGTAATGTTCTCCATGGCACTGAGAGAACCTTCAGTAACTGTAGCTATTGGTGAATTGGAAAACCTGTTTCAGATACTTGAAAAGTTCATCCTTAAAATTCTATTTCTCTAGATCCACTCCAGGTGCCACAGTCTTTATTAGTCAGGGTTCTTTAAAGGAACAAAACTGATTAAATGAAAATATATGTTAAAATAATTTATTACGTATAAAATATATTTAAAATTGATTTATTAAAGTGGCTTACAGGCTGAAGTCAGTGATACAGTTCAACAGAAAGTCCAAGAATCAAGTAGTTTGCTCAGTTTACCAGATTGGCCGTCTCGGCATTTCCAATGTGGCGCTGGAGTCCCCAAGGCTTCCTACAGCGCTCCTGGTCTTCAGTCTGTGTTGGAATCCCCAAGAGGTAGATCCTGACACCAGCAGAGGAGTGTCTCGGTAGTGGGACAGATGTACTGGGGAAAATGAGAACACGCAGGCAAAAGGCACGAGCATCCTTCCTACTGTCCTTTCTTGTGGGCTGCCACCAGAAGGTGGGGCCCAGATTTAGTGTTGGTCTTCGCACATCAACTAATCCAGTTAAGAAAATCCCTTACTCATGTGCCAGCATCTTAGGTTTTAGTTCTTTCTAGATGTGTTCAAATTGACAACCAAAATTACCAATCACAGATTTGCAGCTGAAACAGGTTAATACAGCACATTTCCCAAGAAACCAAATGGTGAGTCTGCCTCATCTAAATTATTGGGTTCTATGTCTTTTCAGGAAGAAACAGAGGTGGCCCCACTCTTGGCAGTGTACCCATAGTGGCAGAACGTGGAAGCCGTGAAGGACCCATCCAGAGGATGCCACGCCAGCCCAGTGCTACTAGGTTGCCCAAAGTGGCAGGACCTGGGAAAAGTAACTCCCGGAGCAGCACATAGTCCAGAACAGAGGCTGCACTTGGCATCACAGTCCAGGCAGATGCTGCCCACTCTGCACTTCCTTCATCCTCCTGAGAAGCTGAGCATCTCCCTGCCACTTCTGGACACTATTAAAGCACGGAGATTTAGAGTGAATTCTGTGTGCAGTTCTGGTTTTTGCTACAGCCAGACTAACCAGGAGGCATACAGTGATTTTTGGTTTTTTGGATCTTTATTTGGGGACTAAGAAAATATGTATATTGCTGGGTCTTTTTATAAACAGGCCAGCATGCTTTCCAGAATGTAAAAAGTTTCCTACACAACTGACCCATCACAGAGCTAGTAGCCAGTGTGATCACTCTGTGAGCCCAAGCCAGGTATGGATGGAATGTCACCATCAAGATCAGTAACATGACTTTACCACCAAATCCTCCCCTTTCACTTTTAGCCCAACTTTTGGGATTTTGAGGACATTCCCCACACATATCTGTTTTAGATCCTCCATTTTAAGTTGATAAAGGTGCTCACTATATAACCCATGCTGGCCTATGACTCAATATCCAATGGCCTCTGATTCCTGAGTTCTGGGATTGAACTCTATGTACATACACTCCAGTCACCACCATGCCTGACTGGACCGTTTATTGCTAGGCTGCTGCAGACTGCAGGAATATATCATAAGAACTCAGCTGGTTATGGCAAAGTCACTACCTGGAGGGATCAGGGAATTCCTCCAGAGGAAGCCAAATTCCAAGGAGTTTTTGGTGTTACTTGGCTTGTTATATACCAGCTGTCTTCTGTTAATGAAAATCATGTGTACCTTCATAGTTTTCCCAATTGACTTTTCCCTTAGAAGGGCTAACAGTGTGGACTGATCACTCTCTGGACATACACATTCCAGGTGTTTGGAGAACAGCCTCAGGAAAGGCTTTCTCTGGAATCAGATTATCTCCCTTAGCCACTTTCAAGGACTAAGAGGAGACACCGCCCAGGGGGGCGCCCAACTTCCGAGGACTAACAATGATAGCAGCCCACATGCAAGTCTCCTGACTTAGGTAAATTCCACAAGGAGACACCGCCTAGGTGAGGTGGACGTTAAGTAAATAGTTTTACACAATTTGGCTCAGACCCTCCCTTGATATACCGGGACTTCCAGGGCACATAAAGGATGGAGAAAAGAAAAGAGTATGGAAGAACTAGACGGGTAAGAACTTGCCAGGAACAAACTGAGATGGGGAAGAACTAGATTGAAGGGCTAGAAGAAAGTACTAGAGGAACAAGATGGAAGGTGAGGAAGAGTCAGATGGGGAAGTGCTAGCTGGGTGAGAACGAGATGAGAAGGACCTAGATGAGGCAGAATAAAGACGAGAGAATTGAGATAGAACTTGGAGGGAGCAATAGATAAGTATAGAAAGAAATCAGGCAAGAAAGGAGCTAGGTACGAGAACAGAACTGAAGCTGTGTATAAAAGATGTTATGCCAGAGGAATTAAAGCAAGTGGACTATAGAGCTCAGTGTGCTGAGATTCTTTTTCCTGAAAATAGTCCTCGCCCTTAGTAGTTCTCTCTCCTGAGCCCTTGGGATGTATAATATTAAGGCTGGTCCTTTTAAGATATAAGACTAGCCTTTGTTACTTGAGTTAGAATGCCTCCTCAGTGTGGAAGTGATCAAACATGCTCCAGTGCACCCATTCTCTGCCATGATTGTGATGTTGAGCACTCACGCAGCTTCCTGCACCTGGCCTGGTCTCCCCAAGACCATGGTTGGGAAGGGGCTAGTGGTTACCACTCACCTGCCTGAGAAGGGAAGAAAGCACCCCACAAAGCTTGATTCAAGTGCAGAGATAGTGGCTACTTTCCCTCAAGAAGACACACTGTAGATCCCCTCCCATGCCCCCTTCTGCCCACACTCTAGAGAAAGCATTATTTCCATCACCACCCCCACAGCCCTGCCATGACTGCTGTGGCTACCATGGCACAAGGAGGCGATCTACTCTGTTGAGAGTACGCACTGTTAGTTTGAGAATCAGGACATCAGAGGTGTCAGCAGCAGTACAGAGGGTCGAATGGAGCGGGGATTAGCAAACATTCAGAGGGTAAGGTACTAAAATCCCAAGCCTGGCAGCTGCTTTGTCACAACTAACACTGTCCTGAAGAAACACACACAACCTCTACATGGTTGGTGTGGTTGTGTCAAGACTAAACCTTATCTGTGTGACATTAGGCAGCTGGCTCAGTGTCCAGAGGAAGATAATCCCAGAGAAAAATTGCTAGGTAAGAATGTATTGCAAAACCAGCCAGGCATGGTGGCCTAGACCTGTAATTCTGGCATGTGGGAAGTAGAGGTTGGAGGTAGCCACAATTTCTAAGCCAGGGCTTCACAGTGAGACCCAGTCTTAAAAACAAACAAACACAAAGAAATATATAACAAAAACAGGCATAGAGAGTCGCACCTGCAATACCCAGAAGACAGAAGCAGAATGGTCAGGAGTTCAAGGTCATCACCAATTACATAGAGCTCAAGAGCAGGCTGATTGACATGGAACCCTGTCCTTAAAAACCTAAAATGTGGGAAGATGGCCATGGCCACTAAGTCCTGTAATCCCAGCACTTAGCTGGGTGGTTCTCAACCTTCTTAATGCTGTGATCCTTTCATACAGCTGCTCATGTGATTTCTAACAATCAAATTACTTTATTGCTACTTCATAACTGTAAGCTTGCTACTGTTATGAATTGTAATGTTAATATCTGATATACCACCCTTGTGAAGGGGTCGTTTGACCATCCAAAGGGTTGGGACCCTCTAGCTGAGAACCTCTGACTTAGGTTGATGCAAGAGGATTGTGAGGGCTCAGGGGCATTTGTGCTATAGAGCCAATACCCTATCTAAAAAAAGAACCTATTTCAGTGAAATTACCAGAAACAATGAGTGCTGAACCACAAAAGGCAGGCAGGCTAAAAAGTGAAGCACAGGGCCCACACTTGTAACACACAAAGAGGCAACAGGACTTGGTCATCAACTGTTGGCAAAGGCTGAGAAGTGACAGAAAAGTTTCCAATGTGCATTAAGTGAGAATCAATTTTGTATAGAATTCCCAGAGTGACACAAAAAAAGATGTAATTTTAAGAAAATAAAATTCATTATAGTTTATTTTGAATCAAATAGCCTATGTGACATTTAAATACAAGTTGATACCCATATACATATAGAATGAAATGGTATCTAGTGTATACAAGTACACCCAATTTCATAAAACAAATACTACTAGATTAACCTTTGGAAAGACACAGATTAATCCCAATACAATAGTAGTGACTCACAAATGAACAGGACAAATAAACATAAATATCTGAATTGAAGTACATCATATACCAAATGGGCTTAACATATCTATGAAACATTCCATTTAAATACTGCAGAATATACAATGGAACTTTTTCTAAAGTTAATTACATATTAGGGCACACAACGTGCCTTAGTAAATAGAAGAATATTAGAAAAAGAGAATATTTTAAAAAAATCCTTGTCTAAGTCATGTTCACAATGCTGTGAAGATACACCATGACTAAGACAACTCCTCATAAAAGAAAGCACTTAACTGGGGGCTTGCTTATAGTTCAGAGTCCATTGTCATCACGGCAGGGACCATGATGGCACACAGGCAGACATGGTGAGGAGAGGTAGCTGAGAGTTCTACATCCTGATGCAAAGGCAGCAGGAAGAGCAACTGGGCCTGGACAGGCTTTTGAAACCTCAAAGCCTGAGGCCTCTCGGGCCAGGAAAGCAGGTAGGCCAACGGCAGACCTTCAGCTTTCCCTCTGCTCCTGCTAATAAAATTTCCCAAGCTCATCCCCAGCTGCGGGGCAGACCTTCTGCTGTGCCCTCTCCTCGATCCCTGCCTGAATTCCCAGGGGAGTAACTAAGCAGATCCTGGTGGGACACCCAGCTTTCCACCCTCTCGGGAAGCCCCAGACCACTCCCATTCCTAAGTCTCAGGTCCCAATACCCAGAAATATATTTTACCTGGGATTCTGCTACGCTCCAGCAGCATGATCGCACATGTGCAGTTCAGGAGCTTGACAAGGGGTCTTGCATCTTACACCATCAGTGTGTGCTGGTGATTACGTATGAGCAGCATGGTTATGCAATCTGCGCATGCATGGCGTAGCTCTGCAAGCCCACCTGTGCCTTACAGAGCCGTGACTCAGACCCCACCCTCTCTCTGTTCTGTTCTCTCTTCCTTTTCTCTCTCTCTTTGTACATGCTCCTTCCCAGGCCTGGTTCTCTTGTTCCCCCATCCCTATTCCTCCTAATAAAGCTCTGGTACTGATATTGGTTTTTGTTGTGACTGTGACCTTCCAGCACTGGGAACCAGTGCTGCATATCATTCTTACACCTGGAACTCCCAGTGGCCACACCTATCAAACCCCAGAAGACTTTCCTACTGGCAACACACAGCCACTACACTCCTAAGAACCAGAGAGGAAACGGAAACCAAAGAACAAAATACCCATTGAACAAGGAACAAAATACCCATTGAACAAAGACCAGCTATCAGCACCTAGCAACTTTCCCAATCCTAGAATGTTAGCATTCAAGCATTTACACTGGCCTGCTCTCAGAGACCTAGCAGGACACAGCAGCAGCCAAGATGTGACACTGTAGCTACCACAGCCATCAAGTAGAGCACTCTCCCTACGCTCCTGCACTAGATCCCCTATAAAATGCAAGCCCTTCTCTCCCCCCCCTCTCTTTCCTTCTGCCCTCACTCAGAGGCTGCCTCTGCACATCCCCACAACAAACCTCCCACGTGAGCTCTGTTGTATGGTGTGACTTTGTGGCGCCCCTTGGTATGGTGGTATTTTATTTGTACTGAAATGTGATTTTGATTGTATGTTAATAAATAAAGTTGCTCAGGGGTCAGAGCTATTAGAGCTATAGCAAAAGCTGGGCATTGGTGGCACACGCCTTTAATCCCAGCACTTGGTAGGCTGAGCTAGGTAGATCTCTGTGTATTCAAGGATACAGCCAGCAATGGAGACACACACCTTTAATCTCAATACCATAGAAGACCTGGAGGGCTGTACAACAGACAGTAAAGAGGCAGTCATGTGGTTGGTTTTACAACCAATGAGAAGGCAGAACAGAAAGTCCAT